GAACCATCTCTTCTTTTTTAGCAGCAAGAAGTTTTTGAGGTACCAGGCGACTTGAGCGGGCAGTAACCGAATGACCGTCAGTGGTATTAATATAGTGCAATGTAGAAAGCTTCAAATTCCGAGTTGCTCCTGGAGGTCTACAGATGCTAGGAAATTCTGCTAAAATAATGGTAAACGGCGAGTCAGAGAGCGAGACCACTTTAACACTTGGTTGGTCAAGACTCGAAATAACAGCGGGAGCAGAGAGTCCAGTCTTTCCATCCCGTAGTTTACATTCTGAACAGTCTGGCAATAAATGGTAGTATGCTAGAAAGTCAGATTCGATGATACATCTGCAATAACGCAACTCCATTTAAAATCTCTTCTTAGACCTAAATTCAAGCTTAGTTGTACTAGGCCATAAGTTTTGATATTGGTGCCGTTTGCTGCAATTAGTTCATATGGCTGCGGCTGTTTCGAACCTTGCGCATGTCGTCGATGACACAGGTTCAAACTTATGCAACATAAGTCTGAACTTGTGTTAATCAGGAATCGACGCTTGGTGCAGCGGTCTTTAACGAAAAGACGGCGACCTTTTACGGGGCAATCAGTTTGCGTCGCATTTACTGATTGCTGCTGGAGTTTCCCTGAATGGGACCGTTTGGTGCTTGCCAGGAACATGGCTGTATGCATCTGTGGGCTTTGGATGAAAATCTATTATGATACCAACAGAGCTTGATGCTTGTCCCTCGTTCTAGGCTGTGAACGGCTTCTGCTACGGCTCTGGTAACGTTTATTTTTACCCGTGCGTGCTATGAGACTAGCGACCATGCGGGTTAATTCGTCTACCTTCTAGTGGAGCATCTTAATTTCATCCGATGTCGAAGGAACAGATAAAGCTGTGCCAAGAGATTAATCGATAGCACTGACCTTGTATGCCGATGTTATTTTTTTATAGAATAGGGTGACAAACGAGCACTTAGTCCACCTGATGGTAAGTGGTTGCCGTGGGCCATAGACATCTACATCTATCCTTGTTTGACTAAGATGGCATGCCTCTTTTCCAGTAAAAAGGGCATCCGGTTCTCTACACTCACCATACGAAACACAGCAACGTTAAGCTGCTATTTAACGCTGGTAGTCTGTGAGAGCGTGGTCCTTCCCCGATCGAGCCGACCCATTCATGCTACAACTATACTACTAATATAGCTGCAGCATGGCTCTACCACGTACAAATCAGCTAAATCCCCAAGATCTTCCAGAGAAGCTTATTTTTGAGCAACTAAAATCACCCTGCACTTGATGAGGCAGTCTGCTCATCCATATAGATTTCAGCAATTGGTCCAGAAATGATGAACCTGCAAGTGTTTTAAGATGTCGAAGGAAGGACGATGACTTCCTGTCGCCTATTTCCTCTTTTTCTAACAATCTTCAAACCTTTTCATCATAGTTCTGAAAATCGTGTAATTAGTGCATTTTTTAATGTCGAATATGGCTGTGTCTTTGGTGGATCAGTTATGATGTCCTCCACTTCTACTGCTCACGTGGTGTCTAGTTGGGATATAGCATAAAAGTATTTAGTGGTTTTTTATAGGATAAGGGTGACAAACGAGCACACAGTCCACCTGATGGTGTTTTCTGTAGCCTATAGACATCTACATTTATCCTTGATTACGAATCAAAATGCAGAAGCGTTGTCACCCGCGAGGACCAAGATGGAATGCCTCGTTTCCAGTAAAACGGGTCTCCGGTTCTCTACACTCACCATACGAAACACAGCAGCATTAATCTGCTATTTTACGCCGTTATTCTGTGAGAGCGTGGTACTTTCCCGGCCGAGCCGACCCATTCATGTTACAATTATACCAGAAATATAGCTGCAGCATGGCTTTACCACGTATAAAATACGGATTCTTGTGTAACACCATTTATATGGAACTGGGCCTCGAGACCAGCAAACCAAAGTGCGGGTCGGTCAAGAAAGAAAGGAGGAGCACTAATAGTTACTCTGTTTACTACAATATTTTCTTGGCTAGTAGATGAATTATCTATATTATCACCCGTATTGTCCATGGTAACAGAATACTTATTATACAATCAAACTTAATATTAATATTGATATCTTATTAAAATATTCCTTAACTTTAAGTGCAAAAGACTTATAATTAAATGGAATACACTATGTTTTAAGGTAATGTGTTTACATTGAATTACTAGTCAAAACATACACAGAACATAATATACTTTAAAACATGTACAAAATAATGTTAAGACATCACAACACAATGTGCAGATAGTTTCAATTTAGGTTGAAATTTGTGAAATAATAATAATATTTGCAAATTAATTATTAGTACTTTATTAGGCTTTAAAATTTGTTTTATATATTTTTATTTTAAGTTGTATTTAATTGTATTATTTAGGTTATTTATTACATATACTTTATTTAATAATTTTGTAATGTCAGGTGATGAATCATTTTATTCTGCTCAAGAGTCAGAAACTCCGTTTACCTCTTGTTGTGATATGTCTAATGATAATTTGCCATCTCTTCGTAATGATTTAAATAATATTTTTTTGCCTTGTGGTAAATTCCTTAACGTCTGCACATAAACGCCCAGAGAATGCCGGGTCATTTTTCTGAATTTGAACAATCATTCTCACTTGATTTAATTCATGCTATATTAGTATCGGAAAGCTGGCTAAAGCCATCCTTATTGTCTAGCCTGTATCCACTCAGAGACTTCGTGCTTATTCGTAACGACAGGATAGGAAAGGGAGGTGGAGTTGTTGCAATATATCTGCGGGCAACAATACCTTATAACATTGTTTCTTCTCCATCCCCCTATTCTGCCTCTGCAGAGTTCTTATTTCTTGAAATTGACATCAGGGGCATTAAGGCGTTTGCATTCTTCCGTTAAAGGAAACCCACCACAACATCGACAGTGATGATTCATGGATTGACCTTATTATTACCTCTTCTACCGATCGCGTGGTTAAGCATGGACAATTTTCTGCTCCGTGTTTTTCACTTCATGACTTAATTTACTTCTCATGTAACAATGTTTTGGAGGTTTCAATCTATAAAGATTGAAACCTCCAAAACACAAACCCTCTATTTTGCATTTACGCAACTTTTTCAAATTGAACATTGATCAACTTAAGAGCGACGCTTCCCGTGTTGATTTAGAACCTCTTGGTTCTACAATAGATGATAAAATCTCAATCCTTAATAGTATTGTTCTCAATTTATATAATGTTCATGCTCCTGTACACCAAATAAGAGTAAGGCGTCCTCCTGCACCCTGGATGAACAGAGGCGTAAGGCTGGCAATAGCGAGACAGAACCGAGCTTTTCAGAAGTTTAAGAAGTAACGCACTGTGGAAAATTGGACTAGTTTTAAAGCTTACAGAAACAGATGTAATCAGATGGTGCGAAACGCCAAACGCCGCTACATTCACGATAATATCCTTAATACGTCTACCGCAGGTATGTTGAAATTCCTTGGATTCCTAGGTATAACTAAGCCTCCGGTAGCAGAGTTAGGTCCTTCAATTAATTTAGATGACATTAATCGTCATTTTTCTGCCATTGTTCCTATTGATCCTAGTATTAAATCCCAAACGATACATTCTATCGCTTCTATGGAACCACTCTCCATTCCCTTTTTTAAATTCTCTCCTGTGACCCAAGATGATGTTGCTAAGGCGTTATCAGCTATTAACTCCAAGGCTCTGGGTTGTGATGACATAAGCAAGACTATGGTGAATGTGTTACTCGAGTTCCTTCTTTCAGCAATAACACATATTGTAAATTACTCCTTGGACCCAAGTCAATACCCATCTTTGTGGAAACAAGCTTATGTTCGACCTCTTCCCAAAATTCCTAATCCTACACTACCCTTTCACTATCGACCAATTTCTATTCTCCCATTCCTGTCTAAAGTTCTTGAAGCCTGTGTGTATAAGCAAATCTCTTGTTTCATAAAAGAACATAACCTATTGAATGTCTATCAATCAGGGTTTCGGTCTGGTCACAGTACCATTACTGCACTTATTAAGGTCACTGATGACATAAGAAGAGGTATGGATGAACAGAAAGTTACAGTGCTGGAAGCCTACTCTCTTTCTCCGAAACGAAACTTCGTTAACGAACGAAATTTAAACGAAGTTTCGTGTCTGACCCTACTCTATATCATTTTCCGACGCGCACGCAAAGTTCGAGTCCAAAGACAATTTTCGTGAACGAATGGAACGAACAATGTTATGTATTTTACGAATTTATTAAAATAATCGTGGTTTTTTATGCATATTATTCCAAAAAATCTTACACAAGCAATAAATATACAAGTTTTCGAAGAAAATCACAGTGACACTAAAATAACCCTTTCAATGACCGTTAACCGACTAAGTTAAGGTGTACAATAATAACAAACGGTGTTTATAGTATCGTATAACAACCAAACTTATCCGTATTATCACAATGCTGTCAGTCATCACTTGTGGATTTTTTGTTTGCATTCTTTGAAAGTTTGAATAGTTTTAAGTTTGTTTCTCAAGCTCAAGTGTAAGACGTAGGTAGAGATTCTTTCCTGTGTGCTCAAGTGAAGAGTTATTAATATGTTTTGTTTTTTTCTTTGCCTACTTTGCAAACGCGATACACATTCCCTGACAAAGTTTCAATTTCAAGTCGCAGTCTTCATATGGGCGTCCTTTGGTCCACAAAGACTTCTATTTGGTTTAATTTGGTTTTATATTCAGAAAGAGTGTAAGTAATGTTAATTGTTTTGCACTTATAATACTTCCATAACATATTTTTTCGTAATAATAGGTACCTATAATTTATTTTCATCTCATCTTTCAGTGTAAAATAATGGCTCCACATACGGGTTCGGCTACTCCTGAACAAATTGATGCACTCCTCAATTTCCTGGACGAGCATAGGGATCTTGCTCGCGGGAGATTGAGGAGTCTAGAAGGCGAAGAGGCTGTGGGATGAATTGTGCAATACGCTCAATTCCATGGGCGGTTGCACAAAGACAGTTCAGCAGTGGCAAAAGGTAATTCGTAGTAATATAATTAAATGCTTAAGCTATTTATCAGTGAAAAGTGAGTGACAAAGATTTAATATTTACTTTTATTTTGGATAGGTATGGTTTGATAGAAAACATCTGGCCAAAAAAGCCGCTGCTGATTCCCGGAGGTCGGCTTCAATGACTGGAGGTGGTCCATCAGTGGCACCCCAACTCTCCCATTCGGAATTAAAAGTCTTATCCATAATGGGAGATGGGTTCGGTGACCGCCAAATTGGAGCCAGAGTGCCAGCTTTCACTGAAGTAAGTACCTCATCATTCTTTGGTTTCCCTATTTCTAAACTTTGATATGTTCAAATATTTATCTTAATGATATATGATTTTTATTTACAAAATTATTTTTCTATGTGAGTATGCTACTTTTTTTAACCCATCAGGTAAAAATACAATACAATTTGTATTGTGGTAGACATTAAAAATTAATACTTCACTTAAACATTAAGCATTCAATCTTTTATATTCATTTCAGACGAATGAATCCAGACCATCAACCTACAGTCAAGGAAGCCAACTGCAGCAGCAGAGCCTGGACTTGCATGTAGAAGTTGAGGAGTACGCCGACCCAAGCAAAGAAAGCCAGCAGGTCTACTCTAATTCAACGAAAACCGAAATTTCGATCGAAATTGATACACAAGAAGGTATGTATGGATGTATTTGATACATGAAGGTCTTACCACTAAACTACAGTCGAGATTAAAATTACAAGAAAAATATTGTTTGTCACAAAAAATATACTTATTGATTAAGTATTTACTGCAATGTAACATATTGGAATGTTGTTTTGCAGCCTCACAATCTGCACGTCCCAGAAGAATACGATCTGCTGCTGGCTCCGATGTCAGAAGCATGTTGTACCAGTATGAAGATGGACGTGCAGAGAGAGAGACAGTGAGGAACACCGAGCTCGCAGGCATCAGGGCTGCCTTGGAAGAGTTGCGTGACATAGGGCGAGATTATTTAGAGTTTTTAAGGCAAAATAGGCGTTAGGTTTTAAATAAATTTATTTTTGAATACTATTGTTTCTTTTTACTATTTTTGAGACTATTTGTACTTTCAGATTAAGAAAGCTAAAATAAGAACTTTATTATTACTGAGAGTTGATTATCATGACCATAATTCGATATAATATAAAGATACTGTTAAGTATTTAAAATCATAGAAGTTATTATTTTCTCTGTATGTGACAAAATATCTGCAATGTCATAGGTAAGGATTAAGTAAATATTTGTTGCCATTTTATGAACATCTAGGTAGGTAGGATAACGATAAGTAGGTGAAAAAATAAAACAGAACTAATTTTATGCCTAAAAATATTTTAATCTAGGCTGTTACAAGCACTTGTGAATGTCAAAGAAGCTACGCCATCGGTTCTCAAACCCTAAGCGGGAGACCTTGTAACGAGAAGAACCGGCAAGAAACTCGTTAAGGGCTGATTTTTTTCTCCTTGTATATTTCATACAGAGTCATCAAATTTGTAAAATGATCTTTAAGGTAATGTAATTTTACATCACAAAAATTAACAAAAGTTTACATACAATGGGCAGGTATTGAAATTAATTATCTACACATCGGAAAGGTAAGAGCAAATAACTTTCAACTAGTTGAGAAATCACTGTCTACTAGGTACCTACTCGAAAATTCATACCTAAATAGATAATGTTGTACAATATGCAATATTAACTAAATTCATTAGACTTAAAAGTTAACATTAAAAAAAACGCATTGCTTACAATTATAACAAGATAAGAAGTGTATGTTTTAGGTAAGAAGTGAGTGCCATACATTTCAGTAATATTAATTCCTAATCCTATAATATTATAAATGAGAAAGTATGGATTTTGATTGTTACTTAATCACAAATAAACGGCTTAAATGTGGCTGATATGATGATGATGATGATTATCTCCTAAAACAAAAAAAAGTTTTTAATTGAGTTTATTTTAATCTACTTGCACAATTGTTTGGTTTGAGTTTATCTTACCGGTTCCTTTCTAACATTTGTATTAATGAATTCCTTGCCCTTCGACCTGCCTGTAGAGCTTGAGTAGAAGATGCGGCTGTTTCAAAGGGAACCTGCCTGGTTCTCTCCGATTGGTGTTCCTCTTCAGTCAACTCGGGACCTTCAATACCAGCCCTTATACACATGTTGTGTAAAACACAGCAGGCTAATATAATTTTACCTGCTGTTTCTGGGCAGTAATGGAGTTCCCTAGCTGCCAAAAGACATCTCCATCGACCCTTCAATACACCAAATGTGCGTTCTATGGTGCAGCGTACACGTTTTTGGAGGTAATTGTACCTTCCCTCTGGAGAGTTCTCAACAGCATTATCTACAGGTGTCATCATATGCTCCCTTAGAGCATAACCAGAATCACCTAAAAATTTAAAAATATAATATTAGTGTAAATTGCATCATCACATTACTTACACATAATGAATATCAAAACTATAAATCAAGACATGCCTAATAGATAAACTGTTTCATCCTGGAGACCCTCCAAGTAGTTTCTTATCTCACATTCCCTCCAAATATAAGCGTCGTGAGTTGCTCCACCATATGAAGCATCAACATTTGTAATTAATAAATCACTGTCACTTATCTGAAAAAGAATTTCCATCAATGTAACATAGGATAAAATGTAAGTAATAAAATAGTGAATGTCATAATAAAAACATTAAAATATTGTACATAAACTTACAACTTGAGTATTAATCGAATGAAAATGTTTTCGATTAAAATATCGTTCCTCGTGCTCCGAAGGCCTCACTATGGCTAGATGTGAACAATCGATGCACCGCACCACAGCGGGTAGCCCATATTTATCATAAAATCTACAATAAGGATACAATATTATTATAGAATAGTAAATTGTACAATAAAATTATATTTGTTTTTGCATGACTTATTTGCCTAGTCTTGGCACACTTTTTATGTAAATTGTTCATTTAAAATAACAGAATAATATTTTAATTACTAGGTATTTCACATGTTAATAAGTTTAACGGTCAATACTAGATAGGAAGGTAAGTACTTACTTCTGCTTAATAAGATTCCTTTCATTCCTATTTTGTGGGAATCTTATGTGCTTCCTTAGTATGTGGGGTGCATTAAGTGCAGTTGTTACCTCTTGTAAACAACGGGACACTGTCTGTTGTGCCATGGGCCTATCCATATTTTGTCCCACTGACCCCTGGTAACTTCCTCGGGCATAAAAGTTCAAAGCAGTAAGTATCTGAAATACATTAACACAGATTGAGGCTTATGAACAGTAAAATGAAAAATTAAAGAGAAGGGAGTGTTTAAACAATTTAAACTTACTTTAAGTGTGGGCTCGATTCCATGTCGTCTTCCCTTTGGAGGCAATAAAGGCACTATGTCCTGGCACAACTCCTCGAATAATTCCCGTCTGAGTCTGTGATTTCCGACAAACTCTAGATCGGGAATATTTGAAATATTTAATTGATTACGCAGGCGGCGCCGGTTCCTTCTACGCTCCAATCGTTCTTCACGTAAAGCAGCCGCGATTAAAAGCTGTCTCGTAGCCATTTTAGTTAAATTTTTAACAAAATCGACCAAAACGAAAATAAAAAGTTAACACTTTTGGTTTCGTCAATTTGAGGTTAAAATTACGAACAAGTATCTGTCAAACTTCAATTTTCGTTCGTAACTTTAGTGCAATAGAGTAGGCTTAGAGAATTTAAACGTCAAACTAATTTCGTTTCAACGAAGTTTCGAACCGAATGGAACCATGGTATGAATTGAGCGAAATTTCGATCGAAATTTCGTTTTTCGTTGAATTAGAGTAGACCTCCTGGTGCTTGTGGACTTTTCAAATGCTTTCAACACAGTTGATCACGACATCCTCCTCTCCATTCTGACTCATCTCAGATTTTCATCCTCAGCCTTGGAGTGGATCCCATCATATCTTCGCGGCCGCCAACAGTCCGTCCGCCTTGGAGAATAGTTCTCTGGCTAGGCTGACATCGAATCTGGTATGCCGCAAGGCGGCATACTTTCTCCTATAATGTTTTCTTTATTCATTAATTCCATATCTTCTGTTATCAAGTGTTCTCACCATCTGTATGCAGATGATCTTCAACTATACGTACAATCTAGTATTGAGGACATCAATAACGTCATAAGACTGATGAACGATGATCTTGATGCTATCCGAGTTTGGTCGTACAGGCATAGTATCTCGGTAAATCTGTTGAAATGAAAAGCAATGATTGTAGGTAGTTCAAGGATGCTGGCCAGGATTGACTATAGAAACCTCGAACCTGTGGTTTATAATAGTATATCGATCCCTTTCAATTAATCAATAGTTAATCTTGCTTGCATATAGATCAAACTATGAATTGGAGTTTACAAATTTCTGAAATAAGCCGTAAAGTTGTTGTTGTCTTGCGTTCCCTGTATCGTCTGAAAATTTTCTTACCCTTCAAAACTAAGCTTATGTTGGTTAATTCCCTCATTCTTCCCATTATTGATTATGCTGATGTGTGCTATCCGGATCTATCGCAAAATCTTCTCAATAAATTGGAGCGCCTTCTCAATAGGCTTATAAGATTTGTTTTTAATTTACGTAAATACGACCATATCTCTGCCTATCGTTCTAAGCTTAAATGGCTCACTATGCGTCAAAGGCGTTGCTCCAGAATTTTATTGACACTTTTTTACATCTTACTCATAAATGATGCTAATTCTCCGCCATATCTTAAAGAAAACTTCAACTTTCTCTACTCTATTTCCGGCCGTGAACCTCGTCCTTCTAACGTACTTAAAGTTAGTATTCCAGAACATAAAACAATTTTTTTTTAATTCTTCCTTCACAGTTCAGACTATTCTCCTCTGGAACGCTTTATCCGCTGATGTCAAGGAAGTTACGAATAAGCTTTTGTTTAAAAGATTGGTGACAACGTTATTTAGAGGTAAACAACAATTAATTGCCTTCCCCGTTTTATATATATATATATATATATATATATATATATACAGTATAATCTCACTAATCCGGCACTTCGATAGATCGGCACGTCCAATAATCCGGCACCCTCCGCCCACGCCTCCCTCGCCCCTCTATACCTGTGCGCTTCGGTCGCTGCGTCATCGACGAGCAGTCTAACCTCAAAACTTATCACGTGCACGTGCTTACGTATTTGTTTTTTTTTCCAAGTGAGAATAGTTTATAGTTAAAAATGTCAAATAAACGCAAACACAAGACACTAGATTTGAATAATAAAATGGAGATTTTAAAGAAGTTAGATAGTGGAGAAAACATGTGCAAATTGGCAAAAGAATATGGTGTTGGGCGTGCTACTATACACGATCTTAAGAAAAAAAGGCAAAAGATAGTAGACCACGTCAAGACAATGGAATCGGGGCCAGGAAAGCGTAAAACACTAAAAGTTGGCGATTGTCCAAAGATGGAAAACGCTCTTTACATGTGGTTCTTGCAACGGCGTTCTAAACACACTCCTATATCTGGAGAAATTCTGAAAACCAAAGCAATCGAATTTTATAAAAAAATTACCCACAAAGATGATTTTCGTGCCAGCGATGGATGGCTGGATAAATTTAAAAAGCGATTTGGTATCCGTCTCTTAACAGTATCGGGTGAGAAATTATCAAGCGACGAATCTGCAGTACAGCCATTTATCCAGCATTTCAAAAACAAAATAGAAGAACTGGGTCTTCTTCCTGATCAAATCTATAACGCAGATGAGAGTGGTCTGTTCTGGAGACTGTTGCCCAATAAAACATTCGTGTCTTCTACAGAAGCAAGTGCACCAGGTCGTAAAGTGAGTAAAGACAGAATCACATTCATGCCGTGTTCAAATGCTACTGGAACGCACAAATTGGATTTATTAGTGATTGGCAAAGCAAAAAATCCCAGAGCTTTCAAGAACATTTGTCTGCCAGTCTGTTACAAGAACCAAAGTAGAAGTTGGGTCACGAGAGAGGTATTTAGCGAATGGTTTCATAA